ACACGAGGCGACGCCAGCCATCTCTGTCTTGAGCTCGTTGTACCATCTTGGCGACGGCTAAGCCAGTAGTTCCTTTAATTGGTCCACAAAGCGTGTCGGTGGGCGTCCAGGTATGTGTCGCCTAGACGTCTTTCCGGTCAGTATGGTGTACTCCATTCCCCCGGGTCGCGCGATGTGACCGAAGAATCTCAAACAATTCCGTTGTACACACCGCAGAAATCTAAATCTTCAGAATTCGATAGTTGTGATATTATTACAGGTTCAATTTGGTTACGATACAGTTGAGAAATAGCGAAAAAACGATTACAATCCTATCATGTATTGACTGTCATCTTTGATATGGAGGTCTGCCATCAAGGAACCTTCATTTCATCTCCAAGTATAAGGAATTTTCATGGTGTGAATTAGGGGCTAATACTTTTTAAGGGTGCCTAGAAATAGATATAAGTTTTGCTTTGTTTTAAGTTTGTAAACAAATATGTATCTTTTATGAATTTCCAATAATGGTTTGAAGAGGCCCATCTGCATTTGGTTTGAAATCAAACTTTTACTTCTCCTAAATGAACTAAGGGTTTAGACTATGCAACTCAAATTTCTCGTTTTAGGTTCAGACGGGCAAATATTGCATCAACACATTATGTCAGGTTTGTTGGTCCACGACTGTACAGACTTGCTTATATAACCCAGCTAACCTCCATATTTGTTGTTACATTTATCGTCAAGCCATAAAACAGACACTCAATCCAAGGTTTATATCAATGATCTGTTTACCTATGCATCGACATTTATTTCTTCAAAGTGATGTCTTTATCATTTATATTCATATATTCACAACTTGTCATACAGATACTTTTACATAAATGAACAATAGCACAATATTAAGTAGTTGAGTTTTCTTCATTTATCTAGATTTGATCAATATTCTGTAATAATTGAAAAATCAGCGATTAGTTGATATTTATTGTGACAAATAGCTCAAGCCATTATCGACCTTTAGATGCACGATCAAGAGATGATTTTTTTCTTAACTTTTAAATAATTTTGGATACCAAAAATATTCAGCTAAGAAAGTATTTTCATTAATGTGTGTAACACGAAAACACAGACAAAAAGCGGTAAAAGTATGTTTCTCTCCAATTTGAGAGGGTGGAATGAAGAATTCTCCAGAATAAATACCCGTGTGACAGCCAATAGAGGTTGGCTATTAAAGGAGATTCCAACTTGGCTGAACATTTTTTGAGTCTCCTCCAGCCCGCCCTCAGGCAGTTAACATGGAGGACAATGTTTGCCTCTTCTTCATATTGCTTGCTCCTTTTGTCTTGGGAGCTCCGGGGGAGTTATTAGATTTTATTATTCAGTGATGTCCTTTGTTTTTCCTTATTGTATTTCTGTCTTTTTTATTATATGTGCTTGTTTATAATTTATTTAGTTGTCAAAGAGATTTTTTTATCTCGATTTTTTTGTTTTCATTATATATTATGCGATTATTTTTTTTCCCAAAGTGATTTTAAAAAATAATATATAAAATTCCCTAATTTATACTCTCTCTCCTTATTCAAAAATAGATTAAGTAGAACGTTTTAATATTCAGGAATAAAGAATTGTTTCAAAAAGTGAGCATTGTTTTCCTACATTGGACTAATCATCCATTTAAATACACACAATTCGGTAATAGCCGCGTGCGATATAAATAAAAATGACCGATATGTCCTCACTTCTTTTTTCTAGATTCAATTCATTTTATCTCCTCTCTAATTGTAAATACGCTGCTGTATCACCTCATAAGCATAAATAAATAAATAAATAAAAATTAATTTCCTTTAATTACAAAAAATCATTCCATGGTTAATTCGAGCCTGCACAATTGTGATCGCAGTCTAGTAAATACACCCCGCCTCGCCGATTATATAGAACCGAGGAAAATCAAATATGGTTCAGCACCCAACTTTCAATATAGATTATCAAGTATAATAGTACAAGTACATACAAAATTGGATTTATACTCAATAATACAAATGGACATTTTAAAGCAGGGGGAAATGTTATGGTATCCTAACATTTTTTCTGCCCATATTTTTAAAATATTCAATTCATAGCAGCCCATTTTGTAATTTTTGAAAAATTGCCTCAAACAGAGAAGTAGAGGATCCAAATTGTTACTACGTTCAGAACATCTCTATTGTTAAAGAGCCCAATATTCAGGAATGACATAGAACAGGAATTTAGTAACAGCAAATATAATTGTATAAATTTGTAGAAGTAATAAACACAAATATACAATAAAGATTTTAATTGTTGTTTTAATATTAAAAATAAAAAGATAGAAGAAATCTCAAACAGAGCCTAAAATAAATAGTTTCTTTCATTACATTAAACTACAGGGTGACCCATAAGTCTCGAGAGAGAATATTTTTTATTTATTTATTAAAAATTAAAAGGCAAACTAGAATTGAAATCTATAATTATTTCATTTTAGGTAATAGAGTTTTATTTCAAATATATTTAAATTTGATAGTTATTCAAAAAGTCCTCCATTTGCTTCCAAACACAATCTTGGTCTTTTAGGGACACTTTGACAAACACGAGCACATAAATCCGCATCAAGAATATTAAATTATTCTTCTATTGCAATTTTAACTTGCTCTAAAGTCTTGGGTTTTCGATGATAAACTTTATATTTTAAATAACCTCACAAAAATCTGCCGGAGTAAGATCAGGTGACCGCGCAGGCCAATCAATGGGTCCACGGCGCCCCATCCATTTGTGAGGGAACTTTTCATTGAGAAATTTTCTAACAGTGTTTGAGAAATGGGCGGCGGCACCATCCTGCATGAAACAAAAGTTTTTTTTCCAACCAATTTCGGCTGCATAAATTTTCAAATAATTCTCACCATTTACTTTTTAATCGAAAATGTAAGGTACGATTATTCCTTCCGAACAAATCAACACCCCAAACAGTTAAGCCAGGGGAATTTAATTCCTTCTCAATTTCTACATGTGGATTTTCTGAAGCCTAATAAAAACAATTATGTCGATTGACATGGCCATTCAATTTAGAAATAGCCTCATCAGTTCACATTATTCGATTAGGCAAATTTTCATCCTTTCGGATTATTTCAAGCATTTTTTTCACAAAATTCCATCCTTCTATCCCAATTACATTCATGAAGTGCATGAATTAATTTAGGAATATAGGGCTTATAACCAACACCTTTTTTTCATTCTTTCGATGGAGGTTCTAGGTATCTTTACTTCTCTTGAGACAACCCCCTTGTTGATTTTTGAGGACTATCTTCTAAAGATGCTTTAACTAGGTTTATATTAGTTTCACAGGTAGCAGAGTGTGGTCTTCCTGATCTAGGGAGATCTGCCACACTACCGGTAGTTTAAATTTTTTTATATATTCTTGTTACGGTTGATTTAGAAGGTACAGAAGACTCAGAATGCTTTGACCATTGACGTCGTAGAGTTGTGAAACTACCATGTTGATAATAGAGTTTGATCATTTTAAATATTTCTTTAATATCGAGGGATGACATTTTCTGAATTAAACTTGGATGGAACCTGTACACACACATATGTTAATTAGACAAATATTATAAATAATTTATTAGTTGCACATTTTTAAAATGGGATCGCAACTTACGGGCTACCCTGTATAACAATAACGAATGAATTGAATTTTAATGTATGCAAAAATCTCTCACATGGCACATCTATATATATATAAATCAATGTTTGTATGTTTGTTTGTATGTCCGGTATACAAATTCGCAGTAGTTCACTAATTCAAACCAAAATTTCCATACATAGGTAAAAAAATACGGGGAAGACGATAGGCTATTTTAATAAATATATAAATCAACTAGCGGACGTACCCGGCTTCGCCCGAGGTTTTACCCGAGTAAAGGTTTGTCTAACGAACATTTGCCCGTGTTTTACCCGAGTAAAGGTTTGTCTAACGAATCTCTCGCTAAAGTGAACATTTTTTCCCGGTCCCTTGAAAAATACTCGATAAGTTGAATAAATTCAATATTAATCGGTACCCGAGTAAAGGTCTGTCTAACGAACATTTGTTAAAACAATTCTCTATAGACTTATAAAAAGAAATAGATATATTTTGATAATTTGAAACTGATAAAGTGATCATTTTTTCCCGGTCCCTGTGTGCCGTGTCATTCTGAATTTTGTCTTTCCTAATTTTCTACATTACAAAATCATCGTTTTATCTAGTGAACATTTTTTCCCGGTCCCTTGAAAAATACTCGATAAGGTTGAATAAATTCATGGTCGTTTATGGAAGATGGACGAAGTTCCCGGAGGTCATCTTGGGCAAGCTCCCGCGAGGCTTTTTTTCTTGTCTACTTGGCATAGCTGTGTCACCAACTCTGCCCTGATTGGTCGGTGGGTACTTTGACTGTCGGCCGGCGGCCGGGCGAATCCATTCTCGCACGGGGTCTGCCCCACTCCAAACTTTTGGCAAAGCACTTTCTAATTAAAGATTATTGTCTTAAATAATCTTTAAGAACAAAAAGTATAATAATTGAACGATAGGAAATTATAGTAAATAATTATACTAAACTAAATGATGTAAAAATAATTATACATGAAATTTGAAATAAGTTTTAGAAAAGTTATCGTTAAGTCCACGGGAAAAGATGTAGCCAAAACAAATAGGTTTTTAACAGTGACACGTGAGCACCCGCCTCGAGACGCGCTCCTCTCTCCTAACATTACTCCCCCTCTTGAAAAAGCCTATCTCCGTCTCAATGGTGGCGCTGCTTGCGAGTTAAAGCTACAAATCTGCAAATAACTCTAAGGATATTAAAGATATTCAAGATATTATTTTTCGTAAACCTTTCCGGAGATACACCTAATAATATCCCAATATTTCACGGCGATTGGATGTATGGTTTTCGAATCCATAGAGGACACACAGACACACACACACACACAGCCGCTGCCCCAGCTGGTGGTGACGCCCCCGCCGCTGCTGCCAAAGAGGAGAAGAAAGAAGAGTCAGAGGACGAGTCAGAGGATGACATGGGCTTCGGACTCTTCGACTAATTTTTTATATGACAAATAAAATTCATTTGTACACACACACACACAGACACACACACAGACATTCAATTTTATATATATATAGATTATTAAAACTATATATTCAAATTATTCTACTTGGATATTTTTATTTCAGTACAATTTAGATTAAATTATGCTGATGCAAACAAATAGATAATGCTAATAACCAACACAATTATAAAAAAAATCTTATCTAAATATATATCACACACACACACACACACACACAAAAGCCTTTATTAAGACACACAGGTCTTACAGAGGATTCTCCTTGGGGTTACAAAACGGAGAAAGTGGGAAATAAAAATGGTGAAAGAATATATACATATGGTAAATATATACAGATTATAAGAAAGAATAAAGAAATAAGAAGAATTTTAAAAAATAAATAAATAAAATTAAAAATTTTTGGAAATATGGATGGGAGAAGTGGAGAGCGAAAAGAGGAAAGAAAACAGGTATTTACATATGGAACAAGTCAATTTAAGTTCTTCTGCTCACATAGCACAAGTGGACCATGGCTTTTTCAAGAAATCTTCAAGAGATTTTCCAGGAAAATCCGAGTGTTCAGGGTTGTAAGGTAAACACCGTTTTATCAGTGTGGGGGTTAACTTATCGTATCTGCCTAAACAAATAATTGGATGTTGGTTCTGTTCTTCTCATCAAACAGAATTTTTTGGTATGTTTGGATGTTCGGTTAAGTCTTTCTTTTTTTCAGCATTTTTATGGAAGTTATATAGATTCAGAGCTACTGAACTATTGTCTATAAAGTTGGATAATAAAGAATATAATGTGAAGTGTGTATGGCCTATCTTAGAAAAGAGTATTTTTCTTTCCGTGTCAAGAGGCTTGCATTCAAATATATAATGTTCAAAAATTCATTTTCGGTTCTATTTTTGCATAGTTGGCAATACAAGTCTTCTGTCCTTTGATATTTTATATGGTCTTCTCGATATAAAACAAATAGAATTCTCAATTGCGCAATGAGGCGTTTAGTCGGCAGTGGGAGTTCACTTAGTAGATAGTTCTCTGCTGCGAATGTTTTATGTAAATATTTGTAGTGTGTGTGCAGCTTCGAATTGGTTATTCTTGATTGATCGGTTTGGATAGACTGTTCTATAGTGATTCTGATTATTTGAGGTATTGCTTTCTGTAGAATATTGGGGTCTGAACAATTCTTTAACCACATGAATCCAGTTGAGTTTAGGATATTCATTAAATTTTCAGTAAAACCTATAAAGGTATTCGTTAGAGTGGATGTTTCCCATAATTGGGCTAGACAGATTGCGGGCAATCTGAATTTTTCCATTTTTAATATTCTTAACCAGAACTTTAGAATTAGTTTGGTTGCTGTGACTCCTAGTGAGAAGCGTCCGGTTTCCATGCGTAGTATGTAGCCTGGTGTGTTACTCGGCAAGTTCAATAGTCGTCGGAGATAGTTATTCTGAATTTGGTCCAAGATTTTGTACTTTTCGTTTGCCCAAATTGGAGCAGAATACAGCAGAGTTGACAGGATAATCGAGTCTAATAGTTTCATTGATGAACCAAATGAATTCAACCTGGATTTCTCCATAATTTTCCATACTTCGCCGGTAGCTGCAAGCGCTTTGCCTTTAAAGTATGAAGCCACTTGACTAAACGAGATTGTTGTTGTGAGGGGATAGCCAAGATAGAGATATTTCGATGTCACTGTCAACAGTTGGTCTCCCCAGAACCATTTGTCCGATTTTGCAGGGCGGCCACCATTTCGGAAAACCATTATCTTGGATTTTGATTCGTTCAGGGTTAAATGATTTGTTTCGAAGTATTTTTTCAACATGTTGATTTTTATTTGTAGATTGATTTTTGATTCTCCTATGAGAATTATGTCGTCGGCATACATCAAAAGGTGGACCGTTCCAAAATTAGGGAGGTATATGCCTGGTAGAGTAGAGTCATTAAAAATGTTGATTAAATCAGTTACAAAGAGTATAAATAGATAGGGTGATAAGGGTTCTCCTTGTAACACTCCCGATCGGATTTTGATTTATCTAAATATATATCACTTGGGTAGATATGCACACGGGTCAATCCCGGGGCGTGGCCCGGGTCACCCGTCTAGTAAATATATATATTTCAGTTTCATTTCAATTTATTATGTTAGACATAAAAATAAACCTTATTTGATGATAGATAAATGAGTCGTTGCGCTGGCAATAATTTTTTTTTTTTTACTTTCTTCTTGTTTGTGGAAATTAATCCTTTTTTAAAGCTCTCTTTGACGTGTTTGATTTTGTGTTGTACTGAGCTGCCCCCCATTATGTCTTTTATCGCCAATGTTTGTAGAAGGAAGGGAGAAATTTCTTGGAGAATCCAGCAGCGGTTATCTGATGATTTCGACGAAACAATAGCGACAAACCCCATCTCATGTAAAACTGATTTACAAAAGATAAACGAGTTTTACAGAGCTGTAACAAAGATAAAACATAATTTTCAAAATTTACTTTTTTACTGTCTATCTTTTGCTTGTTCTTTTTTCTTTCGTTTTCTATGAATGAAAATTTTGTATACAAATCCCGTTTCAAATTCTTAAAGCCCATGATTTTCGGTTGAATAATTTTTGCATAAGACGAAAAGTTTTAATAAAAACTCGTGTATGTATGTATCATATGTTAATACCCGTGTTTTTATTTTTTTTCATCTTATTATTATCTTTTTATTTTCCTTGGACTTATCTTAAATTCAGTGTATAAGACTAATTGTCTTAATTAGTTTTTAATTAATTATGTGTTATTATCATTAAATATAAATAGCATTTTTTCTCTCTTTCCCTTTACAGACTCCGTAGTGAGATATAAGACTATACAGTCAATTCCGTCGAAGTTCGTTTATCGAACTGCGTAGGTAACTTTAGAAATGATCCCTTGAAGTAAGGTCATTCACACATGTATATGCATATAAAATGACAGAATTTAAGCACGAATGTTTCTTTTATTTACAATACAAACTTCTACTGTCCTTACTGCGATGAAAAAATATATTGGGAGGGCTTGGCTCATCAGTGGTGAACCCTCCCAGCGGTTTCGCCAATTTAATCCCCCAGACCGCTTTTTAGAGCTCTAATACTGTAATGGACGATTCTGCTTATATACGCAGCACTGAAAGGTGGAATCTCAGAAATGGTTTTCAAGAAAACTATGGACATAAGCTTATAGGACAATAGAAACCAAGCCCTTCCAATATATTTTTTCATCGCAGTAAGGACAGTAGAAGTTTGTATTGTATATAAAAGAAACATTCGTCCTTAAATCCTTTCATTTTATATTTATAGATGGCGCGTTATTGCTTTGTGTTAATGTATAAGTATGTATAAAGGCTTTTGTGTGTGTTTTTGTGCTGAAATTTATATTTCATTATTTATACAGCATTATAAATATTGCATATTGCATTTCTAGTAGGGATGTCGCGTTTTTGAGTTACAAAATAAATTAAAAGTGCATGAATACACTGAAATATTTGAATTGTAAATTATAGTTTTAATTTCGATAAAAGATGAAATAGTTTGAAGGCAGCTTTTTTGTGACATCTTAATCATATTCAAAATATTTTATAACATTGATGGCCATAATCGTGTAGTAAAATCAATTACTATTGTATTTAGACTGTAAAACTAGAAAATATAAATTTTACTCTCTGCACGTTTAAAAAAATCTATATTACCAATAAAAATCTCGATATATTTTCCCAAAATGTTTAAACAATAACTGTAAATAGTTCATCCATGATAGCAGATGCTCAGAACAACTAAGATAGAGTTTAGATTTCTCCCCTCAAGTGTATTTGATGTGTTTTGGGGGAGATATCTCCCCTCTTGTAAGGACAACGCTCTTTAGTGTTAATGATCTGGAAAAGGTTCGGCGATTTTGTGATCTTTTTTTCACACCTCCATTGAATGCAACTTGAAACAAAAAAGATAAATGATATATAGAAACAATAGAATCTAAAAAGAAGCATGTACGTTTGTTTAGATATGTCTTTTGTTTGTCTATATATATTTAAATAGTTTGATTATATATATATGATATCGCTAAATTTTTTGTTTTAAACGTTTTTCTGAAGGAGTAGAAAACTTTGTGAGGGAATTTGAAGAAATGATTTACACTTTTTTTGATAGAACGCGTTTTATATATACATTATAAAAAAAAGTGGTACAGCCTGCTCCACGCTGATGAAGGCCAACAGCCCGAAACGCGTTCGTGGATGGCTTTTCTTGATTTATCAAGAAATTGGGTTGGCCAAATATCACGGAGCAAGCTAAATAGCGCGAAACGCGTTCGTGGATGGCTTTTCTTGATTTATCAAGAAATTGGGTTGGCCAAATATCACGGAGCAAGCTAAATAGCGCGAAACGCGTTCGTGGATGGCTTTTCTTGATTTATCAAGAAATTGGGTTGGCCAAATATCACGGAGCAAGCTAAATAGCGCGAAACGCGTTCGTGGATGGCTTTTCTTGATTTATCAAGAAATTGGGTTGGCCAAATATCACGGAGCAAGCTAAATAAACGTTTAGTTTATTTTTGCTCCACTAGATGGCGCTCTGTCATCTAAGAAGCACATGTGCTCGTGGTCAGGAGATGCTTCTTTATTTTTAATATCAACACCTGACCTACTTATCTTTTATTTTTTTCTATTGTTTTTCATAAATAAATATAAAATATAAAAATTCAAATATTTTATTTTTTAAAATATATATTTTATTTTCAGATTCATTTACTATTCACATTTTTTACCATAGTTTTAGAATATGCGACTTTTATAATTGTTGTAAATATGTATAGTTAACTTACTTATTTTTCAAATTCACTAATATAGAATTAATTTTATAAATTCTATATAACTGTGAAAATATTTGTTGTGTAATTTTCTTCAAGTAATTGAGAAAAAAAAAACTACTTGATAGTAAATAATTATTTTTCTACTTTTCTATTATCACGACTGCATTTTCAATT